GATAGTCGATTTTTAATGTAAGCTTTCACCGATTGTGCAATAGAACCATAATTCGCTTGTTGGAGAGAGGTCCATAATTGAAGTGAGAGACTGTTCTGTGTCCATCAGCCGTCAATCCGCTCCGGTTTCATCAGAACCCTAACGAAACTGTCACTAGAAATAATTGCTATAAGCCTTCCTCCCCCTCCCCCCAAAAAATCCGCTTAAGTGCATGACATAAATTTTAAAATTCCGAACAAAAGTTGGATTTGAGACAACTGTAGACCTATACAATTAAACAACACAATTCCTTACATTGAGTTCAATATAACGATCATTCAGTTTTCAAGGATTATACAGCATTTTATGGAAACCTGAACTACTACACCCTGTACCTTAAGATTCACTTCAAAATTATCTTCCTATCTACTCTCAGGTCTCTTTTGTTCAGGTTTTCTGACTGAAATTGTCTACGTATTTCTCAGCTTCCCATGCCTCCCTTAATTCATTTCCCTTGATTTCATTATAGTAATAATAATTCAATTTAATTAAATAAACAGCCACGAGATAATTGCAGATTGAGCAACAACACAACAAAAACAACAACAACAGTAATAATAGTTATAGTGGCATACATATTGTTTCCAAAGTGCGTTCTGGACATACCGTAACTCAAGCGGTTAGTCACCGTTTTCCCGCCGTAACGGCCTGGGTTAGATCCCAGTTCAGATCGTGTGGGATTCGTGGTGGACAAAGAGGCACTGGGGCAGGTTTTTTCCGAATACTTCGGTTTCCCGTTCCAGTTATCATTCAAAAAACTGTTCCATGCACATGAATCATCCTATCATCGACGGTCTATGATCTGGCTACCGAGAGCGTCGTTAAATAACAACAAAACCAAAGCGTTCTTCACAACTTTGCACAATAAGTGCATCCATTATCGTCTCAGTAAGAAGTCCGCAACTTGACTCTAACCCAGAATAATTTAAATACAATCCCATCACTTTCTCTTAAGATTCGGTCTTTATAGTACTCTCCATCATACGCCTAAATCTGTGAAGAGATATATTTTTGAGAGTTCTCTAAATCCGAACTGTGGCTGTAATTATTTGCCCATGCGTGCCATATCTTATCTTAATCATCTTAGCAATATTAAGCACATACTAGTATGAAACATAGAAGTATTCGTTACAATTTCCCCTCTCTTTCCATCCCTGCATGTTCCATCAGTAGTTGATTCTACATTGTTACACAAACTGTTAAGCATATAAAGTGCTATCTACGTCTCTTATGCCTGTCTTGTCGTTCATTACGATGCAGCATGCCGAAGGAACGTCGAACATTCATTTTAGCACAGAAGGCAAGGACGGTAGCAATAGCAACCATATATTTTACTTAATTAATACTGCAGTATATTAAATGTAGGTATTCAGGTACCACTAGCCGAATTAGAGGCCGGATCACAAATTGAACACCTTCGCAAATAAATGAAAAATGAAAATTCCTGCCACGGAAAGAAGAAATCCACATGACTCTAACTCAGTGTCACTAAAATTATATTGTCACGTGTAAGGGGTTAGCGTGACAAATATTAATGGGTTCTAGATTTTATGATTGTGTTTATTGGCACTTCTTCACAATTACAGTTACTTAAAACAGCTCACATATTGAACTCCTGCACGACGTCTGTCTTGTGAGTAATCTCGGACTGATCTCTACTCTCACTCACTCACTCTCTCTAATTCACGAATCCACTGCCTTTTATAACTTCCTGAGAACTAACTGAGATCACTGCCTCCAAGAATTCCATTCTGCTCTTCGTGAATGCGTTGTCTCTGGAACCGTGCAATCATTCCCAACCAACTGTTTGGTTTTCCAAGTGTTTACATCTTTCAGTTTCCGTATCCGTGAAAACTGTGTTTCGTAATTAGTTGGATTCTATGAATCAATCCCTCCGTGGCAACGTGTTTGCCTATTCGTTTCCTAGAAAAGGCCCGCATATCACAATATTAGAAAATAATTTTATCGGATAAATATGCAGTAGGATTAGTTTTGTGACCACGATAAGTGATTAATTCGACCAATGAAGTGTGCAAAGTGTGAAGAAGGTTTTTGGTTTTGTCTTTGTTTAATGACACTCTCAGGAGCCAGACTGCATAGCTTCGATGCTGGTTCATCTATATGGAACACTCCGTAGAATGATAACAAGCAGGGGAAACTGAAATATTCGGTGAAAACCTGCCCCAGTGCCACTCTGTCCGCAACACGTGAATAGGCAGGGAGAAGTTGCCCCAAAAATTTGCGAAACCTTATGTGATACTACGATCCAAAGATGAAAGTGTTACGTCAAAATGAAGCATTTATTCTACCGAAATCAATTAGTTCGAAGACAATCAGGGAACTCAAGTGTGTTTCTTCTACAAATAGAACCAATTCCATGAATTCATTTTGTGGACGTCCCGATGAAGTGGATTTGTTTCAATTTACCTAATCCTTTCAGCAGCATTATGGCCCTAGGTTCGACTTATCCTCTAATAGATGTGAGTACCAGGAGTCTTCCTGGGGTTAAAGGACGGCCGGTGCATAAGGCTAACAACCTTACCGCGACCTGTGAACCGACTGTCTAGAGAAAATGTGGGAGTCTAGACGTCTCACAATCCTATCAGCCTCTAAGGCCTCTTATAGGGATAAATTTACCTTTTTGTGGTCAAAATGTGGTGATATTGGAATCAAACAGAAGTAAGCAGAAACTATTATGGTTTAATTCATAATTTATTTTCAATATACATGCGACTTGGTTCATTTAACGACAACTTATTAACTACGTGCCTTATGTAAAAATGAAAGAATGAAAATCAGCGATGAATTACGAAGGATCTGAAAGAATGTGGCCACAATATTGTCGCATGTTTTCTAGGCAACGCGACAAAAAAATTCACGTTGGTCTCGGATTTGAAAGAATATTTATCGGAGAATCGCTCTTTACACTCACAAATACAATTATTCGGACTTTAGACGTTGTCTCTTCAGTTATGCACTCTTGCACGGCTAATCTCGGTCAGGTGTCTTTAGTTCTGGTCGGAGCTCAACTGTCGTCGGTTACGAAATCTACTGGTCTCTTGTCGGATACGAACTCTGCTGGTCTGTTGTCAGACACGAACTGTTATATCCTGCACTCGAGCTGAATAGGGAACACCTTATAGAAAGGTTAATTTCGCCCGCTGCTATGCAACGAATCTCTTGTTGCTGCGGGAATATGTGTCTGCCTCAAACACTTTGTTACAAATAACGGTGGACACCTCATTTATATACTTTAATCTCCGGGCCAACGGATTCTTACGCATTGCTGCCTAGGAATTGCTAGCCGTTGAATAGTGATGGACGTCTTATAGTCCGCCTTTTAGGAAGCATGTCACAATATATTACCGTATTTACGCATGTATAGGCCGCACATTTTTTTGTCAAAAATTCGAGAGGAAAACTGGGGTGCGGCTTATATTCGAAATATTCTAAATCACACTTCATTTTAAAAAAATTATATTCATAATTAGTAATACAGGGTGTAATACTCCTGAAATAATATTCCAAGAAAATTATTTTTTCTATAATTTCTGTCTGAAAATTGTGGTGCGGCCTATACATGCGTAAATACGGTATATGCAATTATCTCAGAATTTTCATTAATAAAAGGCAGAAAAACCGTAAGTACGGCCGATATCAGGAATGAGACTCGAATGAGGGACCTCCATAGCAAGAAACAAACGCTCTGACTACTCAGGATGAAGCGACGAATGTGACATATGTCACTTATACAAACACGGTAATATATCTGCATGCTAGACGTGAAGTTGTCTCGAGATACTCTGAATGCAGGATCCAGGGAGCAGCCAGAACGAATTGACAATGACAGACAGGGTTACGCAGTGTTAGCCAACACAGTGGGCTGGAGCGAACTGCAACGAGTCAGTCAATTGGTAGCTTGCGTAATGCTTATTACTGCGCATAGTGAAACCATTAATTAAGCAGTCATGTGGCAGTGAGTGACATGCGCGGTAGCAGAGCTCTAGGTTCATTCCCCGGTTATATCTTAAACTCAGCACTTGATCTTATGATTAACATTACGGACGTAGAAAATTCTATTTACAGGTCTGGACCCTACAATTCAGTTGGAAGAAAGAAGAAAGAAATGAGAGTGAGAAACGGACAGAAAAGTAAGAAATGGAATGTAGAATAAGAAACAGTATAATATAAAGGAATATAAAAAATAATGAGGGAAAAGAAACGAAGATCAACAATTGTTAAAGAAGAAGAAGAACTCCATCAAGTGTAACTAATTCGAAAATGACGAGTAAAATGTGTTACACTTGATGGCTGTCTTGTTCTTTAGCAGTTCATATAAAATGTAACGGTCGAGATGTTTCATCATGAGAGAGATACATTTTTGTTTCACAAGAATTTTAAGCTAAGCTTCTTACAAAATGTATGGTTAAAAGAAAAAACCTGGACTCCATCAAATTTGTTTACTGTATCATTCTTCGCCTCAGTGCAGAGATGCAATTAGCAGACATATGGAGAGGCACACACAAAGGTCCAGAATACAATTTATTTGATAAACTTCGTTCAAGATCTTTATTTGAAAAGAGGAAAAGAGCGGTTAGAATATTCAGTCTCTTAGCTGAGCTGTGTCGCTGGAACATAAGACAAGTGCTAACTGTCGGTCCGTAACAGATTTAAGTCCTGATGTAGTCGTGTGCATGGGATAAGACTTGCAGAAATTAATCAGCCATTTTGTGAGTGACTATTGAAGTCACAGCAGGAGGGATTATGGGGCCACCCCAACTGCAAGTCACGTCAGGGCGTTGTGAAGCCACGTGACTAAGGCATTTAAAATTACGAAATACATTCTATTTAGTTCATAGCCATGACGGTCAGTTTATCGTCCGTCTGTGCCAAGTTAAATACTGGTGGTATAATTTGAAGACAATGGTATCAAGTTGAAAATGAACCCCTGAATAACACTTTTTCATTGCTTCTTTAATGAATATAAAGTAGGGTCATCTGCCGGTTGCACAAATGAAGCAAGCACAATATACCTTATATCTTGCTCCTTCCAGACAAACATTGGAGTTGTAGCTCTCGTTTCGTTTCGCGTAAATCCCACTTCACTAATATCAACCGCCCCAACATTCAACTGCATACATCCGACACTGAAACACACAAAGAATGGAAAGAAAAAATACATAGGGTTTTTGCCTCAAATTACTTCTCAGAAAAGAAACTTACATGAAATGAACCCTAAATTGTAAAAGTAAAGTTGTCTCTGTGCTTAACTAATTAGGCACTACGCCATGAAGGCATATGGGGGAGTGGATGTATAGATCCACATCTTCTTGACCTCGGCAATAGCTGGATGTGAGTGGTCAGCTTCACGCCCCAACCGCTTTACCTTCGGGGCAAGAGACCCGGTACCCATTGGATAGAAGATTGAGTGGAGTTCAGAGTCGGTCTGGACGAGGTGGTGAAGAGAAAATTCTTGACCCTACCGGGGTTCGAACTCCGACCTCTCGGTCTTCCAACCCGTAACCAGTCGCTATACCGACTGCGCTATCCAGGCTCCACTCTAAATTGTTCTCGATAATAAACTGACATAGAAAAGCAGCTATCTCGCCGAGTGTCTCCCTGTCCTCTCAATAGAACCAGATGCACAAATTGAGTTTATTTTTAAATAAACAAGAATCAGTACCAAGAAAATTAGATGGTATTTAATCGTAATTAAAATCAAGTTTAAACGAAACAGAGTATCGTCTTTAATTAATAATTATATATGTCATACAACTCTCAGTTCTTTTTTATATCAACGATATTTTAAAGTAAGCACCGGAGTCGAACACGACAAGTCTGTTCACAATTAGGAGCGGAGGAGGAGTAATGAGAAAAAGCCAACACATCAGACTAGAAGCGTTAGTCTTTATCTGTGGCTGTGGAGGGAGAGAGAAAGCTACAGGGCGTGACAGGCTCTTGTTGGTTTCCATAGAAATTATTCAATTTCTCCACTCATTGCAAAATGGATAAAAGAAAAGAGACAGAAACAAAGCCAGAAGGAAAGAAAGAAGAGAATAGACCATTTGTCAGGTACAGACTAAGCTGGGAGGTTAGTATAATTGAGACGGATTTCTATGAGCCGTACGTGAGGGCATGTACTGTGTTCAAGTGTCTCTGAAAAGAGACGAGTTGTGGGCTCCTCTATTTCAGCGAGTGTGTTTGACAGGTCATTGAGAGTCACTCTCTGTAAGTAAGGTCAGTGAATCAGTTTGTCAACCTCAGAAGTTTATGAGTCAGTCGCTGTCAGATTCTGAGATCAGTGAGATAGTCATTCTGTCAGATTCTGAGATCAGTCAATCAGTCATTCTGTCAGTCCTTTAGTTAAATGAGTCAGTTGATAAGGTCTGTGAGCTAATCATCCTTCAGTCTGTAAGGTCACTTTCTCAGTATCTCAGGAAGCGGCTCAGTAATTCTATCAGAAAAGTGGCTGAGTTAGTCTCCTTGACAGTCTCAGAGGCCAATTAATCAGCCACACTGTCTCTAAACATAGTGAACTAGTCGTTCTGTCATTCTGTTAGATCAGTGAGTCAGTATTATATTACTGAGGTCAGTGATTCAGTCATTCTTTCAGTAGGATCAGTGACCCGATATTTGTTCAGTCTCTGAGGTCCGTGAGACAGACAATTTATCAGCCTGACCAGCTGACCAATAGATCAGAATCTGAAATGCAGTTCAAAACCCTGAACTGTGTTACGTAGGTCTAATATATTAATACTGGTCAGCGTGCAATTTGTACGGGGACAAGTTGAAACTGGAAGGGGCTGATCAGCAACTATCGACAGACAGAAATTTACTGGATTTAACATTGATTAATTACTAGACAGGTTATAATTAAATCTGTTGTACTGTGTAGAGACAATATGCAAGCCCCTGAAGTAACTAGTGTTCCTAATTAAATTCAGCGGTGATTGATGAAGTACTTCAAGAGCGGCTTGCTTCATATCGAAGACTTTTCCTCCGGTTTTGTCTGTAACTCCTGGGAGAATGCTGTAAGGCCTGTAAACTGCTTATAGCTCATGCTTGTTAATTACTATGTATCGTAAGTTAGATCCTGAGGGCCTCACAATACACAAAGTAGTTTTCACAACCACCCAGAGGACACCAAAATATTCATTGTAGTAACAGAGTAATGCCTATTGAGAAATCAACAGACAATTATTGAAACGACAAGCATATATTAACAACAGCCCTTCAGCTATCATCCATTCCGTTAAATGTATTCAGGACAACGGACGGGACACGTAACATGATTATGGAGAACAGAACTGCAGACGTAATTCTTACTTACTTATTTACTTACTTTCTTACTCATTGAGCTGAGCCCTTCTGGAAGAGCCGCCAATTCTGCAGCTACTCAAGAATTTCCCAGCATTTTATGGAACCCGAAGGTTCATTACCGTATTCACAAGTACCCTCCACTGGTCCCTATCCTCAGCCAGATCAATCCAATCAATAGCATTCCATCCTATCCCTCTAAGATCAATTCTAATATTGTCCACCGACCTACGCCTTGGTCTTCCCAGTGGTCTCTTTCCTTCTGGCTTTCCCACCAATATCCTATGCGCATTCCTCGTCTCCCCCATTCGTATTGCATGCCTGCTCACCTCATCCTCCTTGACTTGATCATTCTAATTATACTTGGAGAAGAGTACAAGTTATGAAACTCCTCATTATGCAGTTTTCTCCAGCCTCCTGTGACTTCATCTCTCTTCGGTCCTAATATTCTCCTCAACACCCTGTTCTCGAACACCCTCAGTCTATGCTCCTCCTTTAATGCCAGAGACCAAGTTTCACACCCATAAAGAACCACAGGCAAAATTATAGTTTTGTATATTCTAATTTTTATATTTTTGGACAGCAGACGGGAAGACAAAAGATTCTGGACTGAATGGTAGCAAGCATTACCCGAGGTCAGTATCCTCTTAATTTCCTCCTGAATTATGTATCGATCTGTTATCGTTGTTCCCAAATATATGAAGTGTGCCAAATTTTCAAAACATCTGTTTCCTATATTTATTTCATGATTTTCCCTGCATTTTGGTGACGAGACAGCAGACGTAATTATAGCAGGAAAATTTGAAAGCATGGTAGGAAAAACATACAAAGGGATCCTATTGAAATGAATCCTAGAATAATAGTGTATGGATGTGAAAATGTGAAACAGATATTCCGGGCACAGAATAAAGTCTATTTGCCTGCTCTGTGACAATGGAAATAGATCTATACATTTTATAAAAGTCGAGAAAGTTCTTCCAAACCGCCCAAGTGACTATTACATTCTCAAGAAGGACCCCCTTCCGTCGAGTCCCTGTAAGTTGGCTATAGCGCTTCGTGGTTTAACGGCTTTGAACAGAGAGCTATAGGAAAGGGAGAAACTGTCATTATACGAGTATTACTGTTTCTTGAACAACCAACTGGCTAGCATTGTATTGTATTGTATTGTATTGTATTGTATTGTATTGTATTGTATTGTATTTGGAGAGGGCGGGTTTCCCCATGCACTTAGACCAACTGTTGGTCCATTGTGCGTCCCTCTATGATATTCTACCAGTCTCTATTCCCTACCGGTACTGGTGCGTGCCATCAGTCCCGACTCAGCCAGCGAGTTCGGCCTCGACTGGCTCAGCCGTATCTCGATGCGTCCCCCATCTACCAGAGGCGTTAGAGACTACTGTTGGGTGGGAAACGTCCGTAATTTGGCTCAGTGGTCCCCTTGGGACATGAGGTTCTTTTGCGTGCCGTAAAGCTACGACACGGGACCCACGGCTTAAAGTCCCTCCCTCCCGGAGGATTTGTTCCCTGAATTTTTCCGCCCTTAAAAATTCCACGATCTCCGCCGCGTTTGAACCCGCGTACCTTGAGTCACGAAGTGGGAACGTTACCCCTAGACTACGGGGGCCGCTGGCTAGCTAGCATACTTAGAGCCCTACCTACTTTTTCTACCCAAACATGTAACATGGTCGCCGCCATTTTCGTCGTCATCCTAGTTGCTGTGTTCTTAAAAAATAAGCACTCCGGCCCAACCTGATTGTCCCATCCGAACTAAATCCTCATGCATTTTTAGTTCTTCCAACATCTATATTCTTTCTTCATGGATCTTAAAGTAAATTTCTCTTCGGGACACGATATTATGCAATTTCTTCACACAAGTTTCCACCATTCATCTTACCTACGTGTTCTTAAATTCTACCTGTAATATCATTAATTTATGATTTCTTTCCAACGAATTCGCTCCTCTTTGGTTATCGTAGTGTAATTGCTGCTACTGATCTCAGAAAAGACACTTCAAAATCTTCAGGGCACCTATTTCAGTCTGCTATTGTCAAAACGTTTGCTTTAAGTGACAGAAGAGGGCTTTCCACTATATTACTCTCTCACAAATTCGTCTAACGTCCTTGTTGTATTAATTTCGGCAGTCATATTTGTTTGCTATGATTATTTTGTTGTTAAAGTATGAAAATTCGCCTTGCACTTTATGAAAATTCCTCCTTTCACAATCGAATTTCTTTGTCAGTTATCTTTGCTAAACTCTGTTATATTCCTTCTTGTATTAGTCGCTGCAGTGAAATCTCAGAACTTAACCGCTGTCTCCTAAAACCATTTTCTAGCCACCGCATCCCATTATTAAGCAGTTTAAGCCATTCAGTACCCACACGGCCTATTTCTCCAAGATAACTTTAAGTGTTATCGTTTCTCCTATTTCTAGCGCTCCCAAATGATTTCTTTTATCCATTTCTCTTTTCCCCTTTGCGTACTACACACGTTTCAAAACTCGTATACCAGATTTAATTCCTGAAACAATATTAGGTGAAACGTACAAATTATCAAGCTCTTCATTATGTAGTTTTCCCCATTCTTTCGGTGGTTGCTCTCTCTTGCATTCAGATACTTGTATATTGCTTTGTTCTTGAACTCTGTGAATCTTCTGGTACTCTTCGTGTTAGTGTACCCAGTCTGAGGCGCAGTAAACAGTGCAAAGCTGTCGTTTTGTTTCGTTGTTTCCTGGAAACAGAGACACAAACGCTTCCCATTCCGTGCATGCTGAGGCACCCAGTATCTGGCTGCTGTGTTGGGCGCCCTGGAGGAGTGGTGGAT